CCCCCACCCCCGCCCCCCAGAAAGGAGATGGTTATGACTAACAAGGACTAGCAGAATCAGAGGAAGTGCCGTGAGTGAAGGGGGAACAGCTGGAAGGGCCGGGACTTGGGTCAGAGACAAAAAATTCGGGAGGGAGGCCACAGCCCAACAGCTGGCTCCAAGACAGCTGTCTGCAGGAGCCTGGCCTCATCATTTAAATACTAAGAGAGATGTAAATATCTGAATGGGGGCCCCCTCCCCTAGCCCAGCCTCACTAGGGAAGGGGACGAGGCTCCCTCCTTCACCAGTGTCCCCAGCCCTCCCCTAGCTGCCCCCAAAACTTGGTGTTTCCCCAGGGCCAGGAGGTGGGGTGGGGGCAGCAACCAGGGAGGGAGGCAGGGAGGGAACACGACTCTGCTGCCGCCTCTTCTCTGCACTGGGCCTGCAAAGGTGTGAATGAATGAGAGCCTTCCCCATCTCAGCCCCTGGGGACTCCAGGCCTGCCAAGGCTTTCTTTTGTAGTTTAACAAAAAAGCAAAGCAGCCCCTTCAGAGGTTTTCTGATGGCGGCCCTGGGCCTAAAGCTTGCAACTCCAAACCTACTCCACCCTCATGCCCCTCTCCCACCGGGATTCTTCACCACCCAAGTCCCTCCCAGCTCTCTGACCAGGGGGAAAGATGGAGCCTGGATTCCCTTCCTGCCCCAACTCTGCTTACAAGCACAGTCCTCTCCCATAACCTTCCATCACCTTCCATCTTGGTGCCAAGGGCACCTGTGCCAGGTATGGGCACAACAGTGTCTTCCAAACAAATTGCGTCTGCCTGGAGACCCTGCCTGGCAAACTTCTACCCAGGACTCTGGTTAGGTGTCCCTTCCTCCAGGAAGCCTTCCTGAACCTACCCTTCTCCTGGACTCTTGCCTAGACCCCGAGAACATAGAACAGAGCTAGCACTTAGCTGGCGCCCACAGATAGCTGTTGAATAAACAAATGAATGAGCTGACGGCCTCTCCCACTCTGGCCTCCTCCTGGCCCACCAGAGGACGGGATTCCAGCACTGACTTCATTTTGAACTGAAGGGAAAAACATGAAAACCCGGCTACTTTACAGAGCACTCCTCCCCTGGCTTGTAATGGGGGATTGGAGGCAGGGGACAGCAGAGAAGGCCGCCCCTCCAGACCTCATGTGGAGCCAGGAAAACTTGTCTGCTTTTACTGTAGACACTGTCCGTCTCCTGGGACTTGGGGGCAGGGGCCTGGCCTGCCCCTCACAGGGAAGCTGCCCACCCACGTGGAGAGGAGGGCCAGAGAGCCCTGCTCAGGGCCGGCTTCCTGCGCCAGGGAGGGGCCGGCCGGAGTGCAGGATGAGATCCTGCCTAGGGAGGCACAGAGAGTTCGCTGGCCACTGACGATCAGAACCATGTTCCAGGAGACAGGGGAGTCCGGGGCGGGGGCGGGGGTGGCAGTTGGTGAGCCGGCAAGGTGGCCAGAATCTAGGCCAGCCCCACTGCCCCGGATGCCTCTCTCTTCCCGCCGAAAAGAAAGATGAAACTGTTCCATGAGTTAACCTCCTGCAGGCAGGAGGTGGGGGTGCTGTCTGTGTTCCAGGTGGCTCCTGTCCCCATTCCTGGGGGACCCTCAGCTTGGCCTCCCCCCGCCAAGGAGGTGCTAGAAACCCCCAGGCCTTGCCCCAGGGGACAGTTAGAAGCCCACTGGCCAAGAGAGCTATTAGCCAGCGCACCTCCAAGGGCAGGGAAAGACTGTGGGCATGAGGGGGTGGAAAACCAGACACAGAATTAAGGGAAAACACCTGACACTGGCTGCAAAGCGCTCCAAGCTCTAACCCCTCCTTGTAAGAGAGAGGGAGAAACCAGCCCCAGGAATTGCCAGCTCAGCCTTACCAGGACCTGGGCGGCAAGACAAACCCATCTCCTTACCCCGACCCCACCCCCCGGAAGACCCACCTGAGGCCCTGAGGGCACCCCGGTCCCCACCTGCACCCAGGGAACAACCATCTGATGGAGGTGAGGGTGGGGCCACCTCTCCTGCCTCCCTCCCCATCTCATCTGGCCCTAGAGGCCATTCCAAGTGTTTGAAGACAGAGGCTCTGGGCCTTGGGGACAGGGACACAGGAAGCTCTAAGTGTGTCGGGGAGGGCACACTAATGCGTTCAAGGCCAGACCCCTTGATTTTCTGGATTTTGCTACTCTGGGCTTCCCCAGGTGGCCCAGAGATTCTGGGGGACAGAGAAGGCTGAAGATGGGGCGGGGTCTCAGCATCCCTGAAGGGGCTGTCAGAGACTCAGGAACATGGCAAAGAGGGTCAACAGGGAAAAACACCAAACACGAGAAAGAAAGAGGCGGGTTGGAGCCTCATTCCCAGCTCCCCGCCTCCCCCGCAGCCCTGCTCCGTTGTTCGGGATTAGGGGGTGTGCTGTCTGTGTATATCCACCGCCGAAACAGACACCACCCTCTTGTCCCTCCACCTAAATTTCTGGGCACTGGCAGCACTTAAAAAAATGACAGCAAACTTGAAGTTTCTAGACCATCCCCTGGTCCAGGCTGAATGGAGCCTCCGACCGGGCTCTGTCCAGACCAAATTAAACAGCCCAGGCCCAGAAATGCCCCAGGCGCCAGGGGTGTCCAGGGACCAACCGCTGGGTCTGTTTGGATGGAGAGATAACAAATCCTCAGCCTTCAGGGACCATGTTCCAGAGGGTTCCAGACCGTTCGGTCTCATAAGCAACTCAGCCTCCAAATTTGGGAAAAGCCGAGAGGACTCTGGAAAGAGAGCCACTGTTTGACCATTTGTTCCTCGGTGGCTTTGTGCAGAGGAAGTGAAGGAACTCATTTCCTGGCTGGGTTTCTGCGATGAATCAAAAACTGAAATCCCCTGGGGCCTCGACCTCTGATACCTGTCCCCCTAGAGCCCCTTGGCTGCCAGCATCCCTTAGCCCCTACCCCGCCCCACCATTCACACACCAGCTGGTCCCTGAGGGTCTACAGCATGCCCCCAGGGTTCCTGCCCTCGGGGGGCTCCAAGCCCAGTGGGAGCACCTGGTCTGGCCTGGCAGGAAGGTGGGATTCCATCCTGGGTCTTGGGGCTACCGTGGATCCCTAGAACCTGGCCCCAGGTCCCTGCTGCTGGCCCTGTGCTCCTGTCAGTCCCCCACAGAGACCCTTCTGAGCATCAGGCAGCCCACCCCTAGCACGGTGAGTGAAGGGCACTCAGCCAGCAAACCCAGGGACAGGGGCGGTTTGCAATAATGGTGGTGTCTGAGCTGAACCGTGGTAAGGCCTTGATCTCTGAATGTGATCTCCTCTCACCGCTGGACATTTAAGGAGAAAGAGGTGGGGGGGCAGGGTTGTTCTGCTCAGCCATCGCCAGGATAAGGGCTGCAGCACCCCTGAGGGGTGTGCCAAGGCCACAGTCGCCAGGATGAGAAGTCCGTGGCCCCTGCAGGGCAAAGATGCCATCTGCGTGTTGGTACTTCCCTTGGTGATGTCTCATCATGAATGGGCTGCCAGGCCACTGCTCCCACAGCAGGACCGCCTCACCCAGCGCTGGCCATGCCAGCCGCTGACCCCAGGGGCTCATGCTCTGGTGGGTTCATTTCTCCAGGCATGGAGGCCCCAGCCGGTGCCCAGGCTTCCCCAGCCCTCGGCAGGGCAAAGATGCAGACTAACTGGACCCCAGGACAAGCTAGAGGCACACAGCTCTGGCCTCGGAGCCCTGGCTCACCCCGACTGGCCCCAGATGGGACTGTCCTGCTAGCTCCTAATTTGCAACACAATCAGGAGTTGCAAAGGGCAGCTGTGGGGGGAGGATGCCCTGCCCAGCATGCCCGTCCCTGACACCAGCTCCCGGTCCTGATTCCCTTTCAGGAAGGCTGGTGGCCAGCAGAGCTACAGGCTGGTGACCTCACCCTACTGTCAGGTTGTCCAGCACAAGCCTGTGTCACTGTCTGCAGGCCGGGCCCGTGGTCCACTCATCTGGGATGCTCTGGGGTCAGGAGGGTGCAGGGGAGACTGGGATGACCTTCCCAGTGAAGGAACCCTGAAGCCCACGTGACCCCAGCCTCCGCTCTGACAGGGAGAGAGCTTGACATCTGCAGATGGAGCGTCCCCCAGGCCCAGGCAAGGGCTCCCACGCTGGCCAGCAGCCCGGGCATCTGCTGGACTCAGAGGGACCCCCAGGCAGGTTTCGTGGGTGCCTCACTCACCTCCACCCCTGTGGGAACCAGACAGACCCTTGCCTGTGGCCTCTGAGCCTCTTAGCTTCCATCACCAGATTCCTGCATTCGGGCGTCCACACCCGCCCGTCCCACACCCCGAGCTCCAACAGCAGCAGCACCCACTACCCCCTCCCCCGTGAGCAGGAACCAGGCCCAGTGCTGTGGGCTATACCCCCAGGACAACCCTCAGACAGCGATGTTTAAGACCCCTCTTAACAGAGGAGGAAACTGAGGCTCAGGGGCCAAGACACCCTTCCCCACCCAGCTGTCAAATGGCAGAGTGAGCTTACCCCCCTAAGCATTACACCACACAGGCTCCCAGCTGCCATGCCCATCACCTCCCCCAAAGGCCCTCTCCCTTTGGATAGCTCTGCCCACTTGTCCCTTTCAAAACCTTTCCGGAGACCCATGTCCTCCAGAAAGCCTTTCCAGACTGATGCCTCACAGCACGGGTATCCATGCTCACCCCCACCTCCCTGGTCCACATCTGACCCCTGGTCCAGCTGGGAAGCCGATCTCGGAGGGGCTTCTGCCACCTGGCACACAGGTGTCCACCCTCCTCACAACCAGGATGGTGCGTGGGCCTGGTCCCGGGCCCTGGACACAAGAGCAACAGGCCAGCGCAGCGGGTGGCAGTCAGACCCATAAAGGAGCCGTCCCCTCGTAGCTACGAGCAGACACGAGCAGAATCCCGGCAAGGCTGGCTCCTCCAGTCCAGCTGAGTGACCTCATCGCCACTGTGGCTCCTGCCCTGGCCACAGAGGGAGAATTGCACGGAGTCTATACTCACCAGAGGCCTGAGTCTTGCTGAAAAGCAGGATTCCTCCCTCAAGAGGCCCTCTGGCATTAATTAGGGGCAGATCCGTACCCATCACCAAGCTATGGGCCTCGTCCTCCTGGGAGGAGAGGGGCACCTGGATCCAGCCGTCATGGGAGCCGTTGTCCAGGAGGTACCTGGGCTCCCAGACAAGCAGGCCCGTCTGCACCACCCCATCTCCTGAGGAGACCCTCTCCTTGCCCTCCTCCCGCGCGAGTGCTCCGGGCCCAGAGCCTGCCCGGCCTCCAGGACACCGCTGGGACGGTCCTCGAGGAGACGGCAGAGGGTTCAGAAGGGCAGACACAGCCTCTAGGCGGGAGAGCACGGCTCCGGGACCGGAGCGCCTGGGTCCTGAGCCAGACTGTGTTTCAACAAACATCAAGGACTTTCAGGATTCTTTCACTGCATGCAAATCTGGTTACAGCAAACAGTGCTGGGGAAAGTAGGCCAACAGCTGGCACTTGGAAGGGCTTTAGCTACACAAAGACCCGAGTTGTAATCGCGTTCGCGATAACAGATTTGGCCTGTTTTCACTAGAGAACACAGCGGCCGACAGCCCCGTGCCTCGGGCGTCCGGGAGCCAGCCGGGAAGGAGTCACTGCTTCCGCCGCCCCACCACACGGGGAGCGCCGGGTGCCGGGGCCACCTGAGGCCCATTTTCGCACAGGGAAAAGGGGAAAGTGAGACTCTCTAGAAAAATCGCATCGCCAAAGTACAAAATACTCCTCTTCCCCCTACATGGGGGTCTCCACAGAGCCCTGAGATCCTCCTTAGAGGGACAGCAGAGACCAGAGTGGGGAGGTTCGTGTCCAGGAAGGACACTGCCACCGTCTCAGTCCCCAGGGGAGACCTGAACCCACAGACGCATCCAAAATAGAAGCCGGGCCGAATCCCCGTGCCACCTCAGTGACGTGACAGACCTTAACGATCTCGCGCTCAATCCTCCAGGGTGAGGAGGGAGATGGGCAGGAATAATAGGATGAAAAGAGAAGCTGTTCCCTAGGGAAGAGGGCAGATGTGCCCAGGATACGGGGCGTCAGCAGAATTTTAACTCGGGGTACCCGTTCCCCCACACCCCGCACACATACCCTTGGGGCAGCCTCCCCTCTGTCCCGCAGGGCGTGCTGCGCCAGCTTGGATACTGTCATTGCTCCAAACCTCCAGGAAACACCCCCTCAGGGCCCTTCTTCCCCCACTGCAGGGTCCTAGTCAGCTTGGATTGAAAGTGACCCCCTGCAACGCCGCTACGGCTCAGAACTCGCCTGGCTTTGGAGGTGGCCCGGGGGGCCTCTGTCCTTCAGCCACTGACGTGAGCTTCAAGACAGGCCACATCCCCCAGCCTTGGGAACTATCAGGATCCCTGGTCCCCGAGGTGCTGGGGTGTCCTCCCACTCCTTTGACCCTACCTTGCAGAAACCGAGACACCAAGCGGGCAGCCCAGGCAGAGGTCCCCCACTGGCCCCATAGAAACAGACGGGTGCTGCTCCAGCCCCGATCTTGGCCACTCCAGCTGCCTCCCCTCGACGGTCCAGGCTCCAGGCGGGTGGGCACACCTGGCGCTCTGCGGTCACAGGCTGGTCCCTCCTTATGCCCCAGCCCCTAACGGACCAGCGCATTCCGGCCTCCCCCCGCTCCTGCTTGCTGCCCCTGGCCTGAATGCGCTCCGCCCTCCCTCCCTCCTGCCACCAAATTCCGCCTCCTCCACAATGACCTTCCTCTGCCCGGGCTCTGCCAGCCTCCATCACCCGCTGCTGTGCCAGGTCAGACACCCCTCCTCCTTCTCAGATCCGTCCTTCCCACGTCCGTCTGCCAAGGCTGTCAGTCCCAACACCCAACTCTACTCCCAGCTCCTGAGGCCCTTAGGGAGGCCGCCTTTCTGGCCCCCAACGCTGGCTGTCCTGAGCCTCTCTCTCTCACACACACACACACACACACACACACACACACTCTCATACATGTACACACACTCATGCACATGTCCACTCAGCGGCTCTGCCTCCCCTGCCTTCAGAGCACCCCAAGTCTTCAGGGCACACAACAGGGAGACTGAGGCACACAGGACCAGAGGGTCGGAGGCCCCACTCCCTAGAGCGAGAAATCTCCCCCTAAAGGCAGGGGGCTGCCAACTGTTACACCAGGATGGTCTCAATGAGGCCATTGTCTCTGACCAAATGAGAGGGTGGAGAAGCTGCCTGGGAAGCAGCCGCAGAAGCCACCAGTATCTCCAGATGGGGCACCCCAGGACAGGGACGGAGTTACATACTAGTACCCGGAGGCAGAGGCACTGACAACCCACGTGGCACGAGCTGTGACAGCTGTAAGACCACACGGCCCTCAGATCCCTCAGATCTCCGCCTCCCTATTCTGCTTCAGGGCTCCCATTGCCTCCCCAGAAATCCTACGTCCAGCTTGCTTTTGGGTCAGGGACTAAGAGCCAATCATACCCCCAAAGACCACAGGAAAACGTACACAGAGCGGGACCTGAAGCGGGCAGCCGTCTCCAGATCGGCTAAATCTCCAATTCGGACACTTAGGAGTTGAAAGTCCCCTGAGGAGCCTCCCCAAACAGCAGCAGCTGGAGGGCTGCTCCGGACAAGCAGGAGAAACAGAAGGGAGGAGATCCAGGGAGACTCTGGTATAAGCGTGCGCTCCAAGAGGTCCAGGTGGCAGAGTACAAGCCGTCACATCTCTGCAAACCCAGACCTCCCCTTGTTCAGTGCTCGTTGCCAGAGTCAGAAAAGTGCTCCCACTACAGATCCGACTCTTGCACAGGATGCCACTGGACCCCAACCCACTCCGGGCTCCACCCGCTGCTCAAGCTCGTCCAGTCCTAGCCCAGAATTACAGCCTCTGGGGCTCTGACTGGGGTCCAGCCAGGCTCTGGTCCCCAGAAGTGCCCCTGCAGATGGGGCTGTCCTCAGGTGGGCCATGTGCACAGCTGGGCTCAGAACGCCCAGATCCCAGCCCTGACCCTGTCGGTGGAGGGAGGAGGACCTCCCTGCTAGGCCTGGCACCTGGACGTCTGTGTCTGTTAAATCCTTTCAGACCAGCCTCCCCGAGGCCGGGCCCACCAGAGGGCTCTACCCGCGGCTGCCTGGGAGCCCCTCCGAGGGGCGGGGGCTCCGGGTCCGAGCCAGAGGCAGGCCCGCCCCTCAGAAATCTGGCTCAGAAGTGCTGGAGACCATTGTGTGAGCTTCTCTTTCCACCGCAGGACGCAGGATGCAGGAACAGAGCCACAGGCAGTCACGAGGGCGCAGGAAAGCGCGCACACACACAAGTCCAGGACCGGGATGCCCCACCGCGTCCGGCGGGAGAAGCCCCCTAGTCTCTCCACACTTTGTAAACCCCGAAGGGGGGAGGGGACGAAAAAGCGCTCCCTACCGGCACGCAGACCCCTCCTTCGCCCCGCTGCCAGACTCCAGGAGGCCGATGAGGATGTCCCCAGGCCCGGATGGGAGCCGATGGTATGCCTCCCACTAGACCCCGCCACAGCCTGGGCCGTGTCCACTCGGGGCCCTCCCCAGCCTGAATTCGGCTCAGCCCGGGCCCCGAAACTGGTGTGGGGGAGGGGGCTGTCCTGCGGGAGGGACGCGGGGGCGGGTAACTAGCTCCCCCAGCCCGCCGCGGGGCGGAGTGTCGTAGGGAGAGGACCGAGCGATAGCCTAGAGGGAAACTGCGCGCCGCTGCCGTTCGAGGAAGCCCCGCGAGCCCTCGAGGAGACTGTCGTCGCTCGGCAAACACAAACAACAATAAAAGGAAGGAAACTCG